AGTGAATGGAACGGACCCAATAAGTGCTCCCTGTCCCAATGGTGCCAATGGGTGGCCGCCATATTTTTGATAGTCACACGGTGACTAGCAGTTAAGGGGAGGGGTGATGTAACGGGGCAGCCCGTTACATGGAAATTGTCATTTAGAAGATAATGACAATAAAGAATATTAAGCTGAATATCCTTTTAACAATATCACCAATGGTGGTGATATTGATGGGTCGACCAAAGCGTCTGCTCATTGGTTGATATCTTGACGATATCAACCCACCAATCGCCGCAAGACGCGCGCAATGAGTGGTGAGTAGACGTCGTCATACATTCAGTTAGATTAATATAATTTAGTTAAGTCAAACATAGAAACAGTGGTTAAAGACTTAATTATATTAATACAACAGTTCTGCTTTTCCCTTATCTACGCTTCCTCGTTTGCCCCGTGTACGTCTGTCGGGCGCACCAAAACCCTTGCGTTAAGTTCACGCAAGGGTGTGCCCCGTTACACAAGACCCTTATCATCGCATACCCTTTGTTTGGCCATTAATGGAAATGCACACAAAACGTTCTACGAGATTATGCTATAGCTAATAATGTATCATATCACGCTTATCATGGATTGTAGCATCTTTTGGAGCTTTGCCATGACACAAAACCATACAAAGTGTGAATGATGTCTCTTGAATGTCAAACATTATCACGTACAAATATATTTGGAAGGCAACCTCTACTTCCATTTCCTACCTTAAATTGGATAAGTCGGGTTTGAATGTCAAGTACAGCAAACTGTCGCAGCAAGGTGTCTATCAGAACGCCATTTACATGGACACGTACATGTCAGATGTTTCTTGACGCCGCGAATGCGTGGCCAGCTGGCTGCAGTGGCATGAGAATGGTGCTATCTCAGCAGTCCAAACAGTTGAAAAACCCATGTCTTGCTAGTAAAATTAGGGTTACCGTTTTCTTTTCGCGATTAGCCCGTAAAGAACAATCTTGGCGTTCTTTTAATATCGCTCTTATTTTTCGGGAAAACAACAAAGCACTGACAGCAATATTTGTCATTCGGACGCTTATCAATCGACGATCTACGAATTGAGCAATACGTTTACGGCTGGTGCGGAAGTGATCCTATACCTCGACTTCATGTAGATGAGCATGTCATCGTTTGAATGGACCACGTACGGCTAAAAGAGCACTATAGGCTTACACGGTGATAGAATAGGCTGTCTACACTAACGACAGAGTGTGAAGCGATTAGTTCGCATCCTCACATATTATGTTAATTGTAGAAGATCGTATGCAAATGATTTGGATAAGGCCAAATCTTTACGAAGAAGTTTGGTTATATTATACGGTCAAGATTAAATATATATCCATTCAAACTAATTTATTTCCTGCACCCAACAACGTATGTATTTGCCAACTTCTTACTTGTCAATTATTAAGCACTCTAAAATTGATTGATGAATTTGATGATTAATGTTATGACGTCTTCATCTATTTATGAACAGCTTGTCACTAATAAGCGTTCAATGTTAACTTTAAAAGCGACATTGTATTAGAGGCATCGCCGCTGGAGGTAAGAATGCTTAGACGTTTCTGCTACAGACATATTCTAATCGACATTCATATAATTTTGATTAACAGATAAACAGGATGCACATCGTTTATATTTAAAAAAAAGATTAGATAGCCGAATATGTTGGCCAAATTGCTGCGGCACAGGTTGTACAGAGTGGTGACGTCGGTATAGGGTACTTATAACTAAAAGAATGAGAAGCTCCGAAAAAACACGTCATTGATGCCGTAAGGTTTACAACAGCACAGGGCAATAGAATTTTTAATTGGTCAAGGTCATTAATCGACACCACATCATATTGAGAATTTTTATTGTACGCTTGTCCGCTGTCGTCGTAATTAAGACTTATACTATAAAAAATAATCAGGTCAGATGACTGTCCTGACTTCAGATCACTGTGTACTTGCGCGCATGTCTTCCTCATTGCTGGCCGAAAGAGATCGGCTAAGCACATTCCTTGGAATCGACCAACAAAAGAAGCATACGCGTAAGAAATTAATTGCAAGATCCTGACATCAGCGATACCCTTGCAAAGCAGAACTGCAACCCGGACAATTGTTTAAATAGGGACGAATGTACAAATACGATGACCAAGGTGCACTAGAAGATATAATTAGTCGCCAAGGTATTATGCATGCAGACGCACAGGCGCTAAAGATATCAATTCAGAGATGCCATTTGTGGTATACGCTTTATCACGTAATAGGTAAGTTGTGACGCCAGTTTTAGAGTGGCAGGTACCCCGAATTGTAATTGTAATATATCCTACCATTTTACGATCAATGGTTCTTAATGATTTTCTGCTAACTGCTCAAGTATCCTTGCATTTCATCGATCGAAAAAGGCAAATGCGACAGCCACATATGACGAGCTCTGTACATCGAAGGATAGAATGCCTGATACAATCGGATATTTGCTAAATTTACTTATTGATATTGTCACAATTTAACGCCCGAAAAAGGCTTTTCAGGCTGGCATAATCGAGCGCAATGCCCCATCTCATTTGATCATCTTGCAGATAATTGTACAAAAGCATTATAAAAATAACAACATGAAATAAGTGAATAATAAACAAAGTATATGCCTGGTTGATACTACATATATGAAAACGCAATAAAATGTCACGAGACTAAAATAATTTATTTCAAATGCACTTTTATAAACCAGCCCAAAAGAGTCACGATTTTTTGAGATGCCTCAAATAATCACGATATCAAAAATTGCACAAACTACTTGCAATACTTTTTACGCCTCAAACAATATGACATCGAAAAGAACTCCCTATTAACCAAGATCATATCAGTTTGCACCGGATAAATTAGATAAAATGCACAACAATATTAGGACACACAGAAATGCACCACATATATACTCGCAAGATTACGAATTCTGCATATTTTTTAAGTGAAGTAAATTGCGCCACAAGACGAAGAGCATATAAAGCTTACTAAACAGCATAAACATGTAAATGCAAGAAAAGTTGGATGGAAGATTGTAATAAATAAACTAACCACCGACGTTCACCATGCATTCGAAATTGCACATGAGTGCAATCATTCGAATAAATCAACGTTTGTCAATTTTATTTTCTTTATTGGATCATTATTTGAAACAAATATCTATCCAACTAGCCAGCAGTCGTACTATACAAATGAAAATGGTGTCGACGCCTCTAGCGTAGCCTCACACCGTTGTCTATCGATCGATGGTAAGGTTGAATTGCTTTTAGCTCTATTGTTCAGCGTTTGTGGCTCGCCAATGCATTAATGTGTAGCCGTCGTCTCGGCTGTGTTGTTAATCGGACGAATGCGACGGCGCCGCGTTCCAATACGGCGCACACAGTGCTCTGTAAGATATATAGAGTAACGACCCGATGGAGAATGAGACGACGTGTAGATAAAAAACATAGATTTGAATGAAGTATGTTTGATGCTGTTGCACGTATTCGCGAAGGTACTCGTAGGCAAGCAAGGTATATTGCACATTTCAAACAAGCACATTCTGATGTGACATTGTCGTTATCACCATTTAGAAATACTAATAATGTTAATGTTGTCAGCGTAGAAACGGGTATTGCGGTATGGATGGTACGGAGATTAACGCGATATTGCTATCCGCTACGAATGACGCATGCACATTAGTGTAATAGCTCGGTCTTCGTGGTCAGCTGCGGTCATAAAATTCAACATACTCGTACATGATAATGCTCTGTTTTTTCAACGAATTTGTTCTCACCTGCGAGCACGTAAAATGGATGCTTGCAACTTTATAAGAATGTGGTAAAGGTGTTGGTCTATCGTCAAAGTTCACGTTGTGTAAACGTATATGAATTTTGGAGACAAAGGCCTGATTCAGCGCCTTCCAAATCGCCAAAAATGCTCTTACATATAATTGCCGAAACACTTGAGTTTGATATACACCACTAAAAATATGGATAAAAAGGCATGCAATCTTCAGCATCCAGATAATTGATCGATTTCTATTCAGCACTAGTGCCTGTTTTCTCTATTTTGTGGTGCATTTGAATAACCGGTGCTTTTTATTTTCAAGCAATTTATACAATGCTTTGTATTGTGACTATCTGGGGCATTTACGACTGTTTTCTCGCTTTTCCAAATTGAAATAAAGGATGAAAAACGAACATTGAGAATGAATGAGGGGACCAAGAAGTGCACTCTTTGCGCTGAAGGGGACCAAGAAGTTTTCTCTCTGCGCTGTAACTGCGGTGCGTGCAATGTGTAGTTAAAGGCACTTCGTCAAGCATTGTCTTCGTATTCAGCAAATGTTGATCTTGCTGTTTTTCACCGGCGGGAGGAGAGCCACTATTTGTATACCAACGCTTGCACTGAAAAAAGGTTCATGTGACCATTCTTATATCTAGAACAGCATAGCACGCAAGAGGAAACGCAAGCTGTCGAGGTTTCAAGTTCGACCCGAAGTGCAGAGTAGATTGTAGTACACGTGGCCGCCTGCAAATCAAAGTTTTGCAGGATACTGTTACTACCATATTTCACAGTGGCAAGGTACGAGCCGCAGCACTCACAAGCTGCTTGACTCGCATTGCAATCGAAATGCGACAACTGCGTCTACCTACCCAGTCGCACGAAGCATACAAATTCGTGACCCCACACGTCGAGTAAAGCTGATGTTAACTGCGCGAGTTTCGTGTCTCTTCCAAAACTTGCACATAAAGACGAGTGCTCTTCCGAACATGTAGAAGATGAGTAGCATGTCACATGGCAATTGGTCCCGTCCATCACCGCAAAGTGGCCGAGCGCTCTTTCGTGTCTTTGTTGAACGTCGATGAAGTCAAGATCGTACGTGCCATTCCTCGACTAAGTTATTTCTTCGTTCGAAACATCTTTAAAGTGAGGTTCGATCGTGGACTGGTCCTCTCCGTTGCCATGCTTCCTGCCTTCACTTTTGAACTAGGTGCTAGAATTAGCGCCACCGTCGTTGCCAAACGCCTTCCAGTAAGAATCGGCGACTGAGTTGGCCTGCCGAGCAGAGGAACCCCCTTCCTTGCCGCTCCCCTGCCAGTAGGAATTGCCATTGGTGTTCGCCTGCCAACCATTCGAATCACCTCTGCTTTCTTGTATGTTGTTAGAGCCGCCGCCACCTTCCTTGCCACTCTCCTTTGGATCGTCATCGGCTTTCTTGTCCGGCTGCCAAGAGTTAGCATCACCTTCGTTTTTGCGCAGATGGCTGGAGCCATCGCTGCCCTCTTTGTCACTTTCCTCGGAGTCGTCATCGGCGTTTTTGTCAGCCTGCCCACCAGTCTTTTCCTCTGCGACTGGCGCCTTGGAATTGTCCATTGACTTCGATGCATCCGAACCGGGTGTGCTGGGACCACCTGCCGAAGGATTATGCGATACAGACTTGTCGGATGACGAGGAGCCTGTCAAGATGTCGTCTTGCGTCACGCTGTTCTCCACATCTTCTCCGCCTTCCTTGCCGCTTTTCTTCCAATCTTCATCGGCTTTCTTGTCCGGTTGCCAAGCGTTAGCATCACCTTCGTTTTTGCGCAGATGGCTGGAGCCATCGCTGCCCTCTTTGTCACTTTCCTCGGAGTCGTCATCGGCGTTTTTGTCCGCCTGCCCACCAGTCTTTTCCTCTGAGACTGGCGCCTCGGTATTGTCCGAACCGGGTGTGCTGGGACCACCTGCCGAAGGATTATGCGATACAGACTTGTCGGATGACGAGGAGCCTGTCAAGATGTCGTCTTGCGTCACGCTATTCTCCATATCTTCTCCACCCTCTGAGGCGTCTGAGCTAGGAAGATCGGCACCGCCTTTTTCGTGGTCCTTTGACTTGGATTTGTCTTCGTGAGATTCATCCTTCGACTGAGAATTACCGTGGTGCTCGTCCTGTCCATTGACAGGCTTCTTGGCGTCCGCTGGAGATTGATGATCCGGTGCCACAGTTCCTGGGGAGAAGTCAATGGTTTTGTCCGCCTGCCCACCAGTCTTGTCCTCTGAGACTGGCGCCTCGGTATTGTCCATTGACTTCGATGCATCCGAACCGGGTGTGCTGGGACCACCTGCCGAAGGATTATGCGATACAGACTTGTCGGATGACGAGGAGCCTGTCAAGATGTCGTCTTGCGTCACGCTGTTCTCCACATCTTCTCCGCCTTCCTTGCCGCTTTTCTTCCAATCTTCATCGGCTTTCTTGTCCGGCTGCCAAGAGTTAGCATCACCTTCGTTTTTGCGCAGATGGCTGGAGCCATCGCTGCCCTCTTTGTCACTTTCCTCGGAGTCGTCATCGGCGTTTTTGTCCGCCTGCCCACCAGTCTTTTCCTCTGAGACTGGCGCCTCGGTATTGTCCGAACCGGGTGTGCTGGGACCACCTGCCGAAGGATTATGCGATACAGACTTGTCGGATGACGAGGAGCCCGTCAAGATGTCGTTTTGCGTCACGCTGTTCTCCACATCTTCTCCACCCTCAGACGCATCTGAGCTAGATACGGGGACACCACTCTTTTTCGGGGCACCCGGTTGAGCAACTGCGTCTCCCAGTTCACCGACACCAAAGTTCCCGCTAGCCTCCTTGAATGAAGTAGCAGGGCCTGCCTTGTAACTAGTGATGTACTTCTTAAGACTAGCAAACTGAGAGCTCACCTCACCTCCGGAGCATCCCTTCAAAGGTCCAGAATCTTTGAGAACGTTCATCGAGCAGGCACGACCGATGACTGCCTTGCAGTCGTTAGCTGCAGTCGGCACAAACAGGTGTTTAGACTCTTCTGTCGCTGGTATCTTGACCTTAGAAAAGTAGTTGCCTTCAGCCAGAACGTATCCTCCCTGCGTCACATCGAACGCGTGGCCAGAATTCGAGTTGAAGAAGTTGTTGGCGGCGTGAAGAACAGTCGTTTCGCCGTTGCCGCCTCCAACTCTAGGCGACCGACCTGAAGTGTGATTGATGTAGTTGCCAAGCAGGCTCAACTCAGTCTTTTTGCCATATAGCAATATGGTCCAGTAGTGGTGACCGTCACAAGAAGCTGAGAACTTCGAGCGGCCGTCAAAGTCCGAATTACTGACCGTGATACCCGTCCCACCGGAATGGCCGGTGACCAGCATTTGCCGCCCGACGTTGGACACTTTAATGTGGTCGATCCAGATACCCTTTGGCGCGTCGCCGTTCTTAGCCCGGATGGTGATGGCATCCCCGCCCCACACTAGATGAGGGTTCAAGTTTGTGATGTGGATGTTCTGCACAATCACATTACTACCGAAGATGTGGAAACTTTTCCCGTTCACCACTCCTTTCAGACCCTCGCCGACCAGTGTCTTGTCACTCGCTACCATCAATGGCGTAATGGCTGCCTTGTCGTAGGTCACCTGAGTCGGAGTGTCGTCGACACCGCAACCACCTTTCTCCTTTGAGGGTGAGATGACGTTAACACAAATATAATCTTGCGCTTCAAAACCGTTCTTCTTGGCGAGGCACTGGTCTTTACTCGGCGGACGACAGCCTTGCTCCGTAGTCGACCCCTCGGCTTTCAGGAACGTGAACTCCTTGTTTAGCACGATAACCCGCGGCTCGGCGTCGCCAAGGTAAGTTTCCAATTCCTTGGTGGTTTTCGGGTAGACGGGTTTCGCATCGCCACCTCCTGTCGTCCCTGTGGCAAAACCGTAGGCCGTACCCGACACGACAGGTGCAGCAGAAGCAAACTCATAGTGAGCGTCCCATAGCACAAGTGCAAGGAGGGTGCAAAGAAGCCCAGGAGCCATCTTTTTGCGGTTCAGCCTTCTTTTGTACGTATTCCAGCAATGAGTCACGTCTGAAAGGCCACGCAAATTTTAGAATGCCAGTCCACCACCGACTACAACACGTCGCATTTGTTGTTTCCACGTGAAAGAGTCAGATTTCTGCTCGCACGCATCGTATGAAAAGGCAGATAGTGAGGTAGCGGACGGTGAGTGTAATCTGCGAGAGCTTGTGCAAAAAAACGTCGCACGTGTTAAAACAGACACGGTAGCTTCTCGACCCAACCATTTGGGCAAATCCAGCTGGTCAGGCGATGCCTCCATGAGACGAGAGATACCTGTGCTGTATGGCCGTGATGAACAGGGCTGTCAATGCTTCTCCGCGTACTTTGCAAATCGTGTGCCGGAATCACACGTACCTTCATCCGCACGAGCTGAAAATTTGCCAGCACGGGTGTAATTGACATGTCCATTTGCAGTCATCTAAGACCGGCCAAGAAGTGCGTACGCATCAACCTCACCACTCGGATGCTCGTGCACTTGTTCTTTCGTTCATACTGCTGTATACGTACATAATCGTTGAGAGGTGCCGACAGCGTCCAAGCACGCAAGCCTTCGTGGGTCATGTTTCTGGCTACTTTGACGAGCTCGCTCGCTCGAGGCGACAATTCCCCAGCTCAAATTGAACGATTACGTATCGCACCTCGATGTTCATAACAGTTAGTTGTGCCTCGTACGTCGTATCGATGCGACGCCGCCAATTTATTTGTCGACATCGACCACCAATAAACGCGCGGCGAAAACCGCGTCATGCGTCAGATGTGCGTCGATGATAGACGACGAGACACTTGACGAGATATTCGAGCGAAAACAGTTGCCGAAACCCACGCGACGCTACAACGGATGGTGATAGCCGGGGTCTTGGATTACTAATGTCCTATCGACGTCGCAATCCCTCCTGTACGAACTGAATTTATTTCACATGTTTTCGACCCCTCGGTGTCTCTTTCTTTTCAAAGCGCCTGGTTTCGTTCTGCACAGACTGTGGTCTCTGTGCTCCTTATATGTGACGCTGTGCCATCGTAGAAACGACTATCGCCACATTCACGAGACCTGAAAGCGTCCTGATGTAGTTGTCCTTCTGTGCTGTCGGCATTTGCTCGCTCCGGCAAATGTTGCTTGACGTGATACACCTCGTTGGTCGAGGGTGCGTCCTGCATAAAACCTAGAGAAGCGCTGCTCTGCTTCAGCTTACAGCGTTGCTCATTCCGAGCTGAAAGTCATTGGTCCAGCAGCTTCCAACAGTCTCTCAACGACTCTGACCGTAATCCCTCGCATTACCAGCCTTCAATAAGCCAACTCTTGTCGCGATTTGACGTCAACTCATATTGTAACGGGGTGACCCCGTTACAGAAAATTTGATATATTTGTATCAATTTTTGAGCATTGCCTATTTAGATAATGTTCAATTGACATTACTCGTAAGGAGTAAGGCTGAAGGAATATTACCCCAGAGGGTAATGTTTCTTTGATGGGTTGCTCCACCTCATGGTTGATGTTCACGGAACATCAACCAGATTAACCACCAATCGCTTCTGGACGTGCGCATTGGGTGATGAGCAAGAAACCCACATGGGATATTGTAGTTTAATATAGATAGCTCAAGACAAAGATGCTTTAATACGAAACATAACTATATTCGATACAATTCTACTTTTCCCTTAGACAGAGCTTTCGAGTTCTGCCTACTTCGCTGCGCTTCTTCACGCCACGTGTACGTGACGTCGGGTGCACACAGCCTTGTGTTGAATTGACACAAGGCGTGCCTCGTTACACCTGGCATCAATCTTGGAGTCCGTCCAGCAACCACAACCACCTCATCCGACATGAACCTATTGGATAGGGAGGAGAGCTTTCACCTTACGCGTGAAGGCTTTGACCATTTGAGTGACATCGAATGGAGGGCGGTAGAACGAATGCGTTCTACGGTCGGCGAATTTGCCGTCATCGCCATGTTGGAGTCTATCGACAGGGACCAACAATATGCCACTGTAGCCAGGTTTATTCGAAATGAACTTGTCGCCGAAAGAGAAAAGGTAGCCTTGCTTCGCCAGCAAGACTTTCAACAGGCCGAGTAGTTGAGAGAACTTGGTGCTCAACAGACAGAGCTGTTGAGACAGCAGCACGTGAATACTGCTGTGAGCGGAACGACACACACGCGTCATCCCGAAATCTTGAAGATTGATATCCCCAAGTAAAGAGGAGTCGAGGAAGCCTCCCTGTTGTTATGGTTCGTCGAATCAGACAGAGCCGTAAAGGCACGTCGTATCGACGATGATCAAATTAAACTAACATTTGCTCAATCCCACTTGTCAGGACATGCCAAGACTTGGGCCTTAGGGCTCGAGATGAGCGACCCATATGCTTTCGGATCGCTAGAAGCCTTTAAAACCGGCTCAAACAAACGTTTGAACCTCCTCGGGCTGTGTTCAGGGCTCGATCTGAGCTCCTGAAACTCAAACAGGGTGAGCGTGATGTGCGCGCTTATGCTCAGCATATACGACTCCTCGCGAGTAGTATAACTGCTAACCCTGTACATAAACACACGTTGATTACTGTGTTCATACAAGGGCTCGCAGATGGTCCCGTCAGGAATCACCTGTTCCGCTTAGAGCTGGATACGCTTGAACAAGCAACCGCGGCTGCGGAACAGGAACAGGAAGAATTTAGCATGATACAGGCTCGTGCTAGCTCTAGCTCGTATCGTCCACCGAGACGACTAGAGACTAGACGTCCAGAACCCATGGACCTCTGTTATGTTGAGAGCGAGAGACCTTGCTCTTCAAACAGCAAGCGATTGCAAAAGTGCAATCGTTGTCAGAAGCTAGGACACTACGCTTACGAATGTAGTGCCCTACTCAGTACCGACCAGTACTGAGCGAAATGAGCAACCGTTTGACAGGAAGAGCAATTGTCGTAGGTCCGAAGCTATTCCGAAATCGCAACAGCGAAGCGGACCATCAAAAAATGGTCGGGGTCAGTATTAGCGGAGCGCCCTACTGATCCAGTAATCTCAAGAGGATTTGCAAATCTCTTGACGAAAGTTGCTCCAGATACACAATTGATATGTGGCTTTGCACCTGGTGATGAAGTGACACTCATCAGCTTGAATTTACAAGCGACAAACAATTTGTCACTCCGTGCTCTAGTTGACTGTGGGGCGACGAACAACTTTGTTCGTCGCCAGTCACTATAGGGTCGTAGGCTCAAGTTCGTTGAGCGCGACATCCCTTCAACGAGGATGAGAGTGCGTCTCGCTACAGGCGCATCGATAACCGTTGGAAAACGTTGAGTGGGAATTTACTACACGTTAGAGGGCGAACAGTACGATGATGATTTCATCGCACTGGATCTGGATGACAATTTGATGTCATCCTGGGATTACCTTGGCTCAGAAGGTACCAGTCAAGGGTGAGCTGGCAGCATCGATCCGTGAAGATGCCTGCCGCTTGTTTATCAGATGGTCATCTAATGAACATCATGGAGCGTCTACAAGCGTGCGGATATACTGCGAATGAGTGCGATGGCCTCACTTGCGGTACAGTCGTTTGCACTACAACACAAGACCTCAGTGTAGATGATCACTACACTGTGGAGCAAGCTCTTAGCGGCTGTACAGAAGTACAGACAGAGCCGAAGGCTAATCACTCGAATAAGTCGAGTGGGTCGGGACATGGATGTATGCCTGGCGGGCAACATCCTAGAAAGAAGAAACCCGTTGCGACCAAAGGACAACACGGTCATCCTATTTCGACTGAAGAGTCGACCGTAGAGTATCAGTCCCTGAATGGGGTGGCACATCCACCGTCGGAAGACGTCGAGGGAATAATTCTCCACGTTCAAGAGAAAGGAATTCCTTTAGAGTTACGTGCTGATGAATTAGGCCCTCAAAAACATGTTGAACAAGTTGCCAGGAAGAAACCGGGACGTTGAACGTCTTGGTAAATGAAGGATCAAGTATAAGCGCTTATACAATTGATCTGATTGTGCCTTCGAAGTTAACTTCGGAGATAACTCAATTGACAACGCTTTAACCCAAACGGTTCTTGCGTGATCCGCGTAGTGACAAGGTCAAGCATATCTGCATACTCGCCACAGAGGATGAGTATGTGGCCGATGTTCGGTCGGCAACAGTGTTTGCTGAAAGCGAACGGGTTCTCAGCAGCTCATTGATGGACGAAAATTTCTTCGAGGAGAAGACTCGGATTGAGCGATACACGTCTCAATCCTGGGAGTCGATTCAGGCAAATCCTTTGTATGAGGATTTGATCGTATTCAAGGATGTTTTCCCTGAATCCGTACCCTGCGAGCTGCCTAAGGATAAAGGCACTTGACACGAGATCGAGCTCAAACCAGGCTCGAAGTACTGTGGCATGAAGCGGTGGCCACTGCCTCGTGAACAAGTCCTAGCGATCGACAAGTTATTTGCTGATCGCTTTGCAGCGGGACATGGTAGGGAATCGACATCCACTCACAGCTCTCCGACCTTCTGCGTGCATAAAGACACAGGAGGGTGTCAGATAGTGCACGAATTCAACAAGTTGAATGCTGCAACGGTACCGTTTTAGACGCCAATAATGAGGTCGTACGTAATTGTAGATGGTATGTATACTACCATCATCTCTTCCATGAATCTGATGAATGGATTCTATCGATTCCTCATGCGTGAACGGGACATCCCGTACACGGCAGTGAGCACTCCCATTGGTATAATGTGGGATTGGCTAGTGATACCACATGGCTGATTAACGCCCCTGCAACATTTAACAAATGTGTTACAAATATGTTAAGACCGGTGCGAGATTTCGCACTAAGTTACTTTGACGATGTGTTCGTCCATAGTCGGGGTATGGACGGGAAGACGGACGTTAAAGTTTATAGAACGCACGTTCGTCAGGTTCTTCAACGTATGCGCAAGCATAAGTTGTACGCCATCCTCAAGAAGGGAAATATATGCGGCTAGA